TCTAGACCGGCCCTTGTTAAGCAGCGTTTTATAGCTGCACTTATTTCGTTTGAAATAAAGGGCAACAGGAACGGAGCCTTTTGGATCAATGCCAAAAATTCAAAAATGAACCGCAAGGAGGAGTGTCTTGTCATCACGCGTGACCTGGCGCCATACCTCAGGCTGATCCAATGACCTGACATGGACACAGTTATCGACCATGTATTACTCTGTGCGGCGGCTATCCACCAACTAACTTAAATACTTACAACAAATAAACGGTAGGTGTTTGAATGAAGCTGTTTCTTATGCGAATGCAAATCGAATTGTCAAGTTTTATCTGCTGGGGTTGTGAAAGTGTTTGGCTGAGTAGATCACATCTCAATTTGACCTTTCCAGGCTCTGAAGAAGGCGAAACCGCCGAAACGTCAGCAAGAGGGTAAAGCATTTGACATTGATGAATCCCTGAGAGATACGCTACGAATTCAATACCATTGGTGGCATCGTAGTGGTAACTTCACGCATATACGGCCTATAAAGTGGATTTCAGGAGCTTGCAGATGTATCAAGTCGGTGCTTTTATTTTGTGAAGAAGGTCGATTGAGAATTTATTGACCTCAAAGGGATGGGAGACATGGTTCGCGAGAGCGGGATCGAACAACGAACTCGATGTATACTGCAGAGTACCTGTAGCCACTGTGCTAAACCTAGTCATACCAACCATAAATGTAGAACGGTAAGCGATTTGTTAATTTTAGCTGATACGTAGGAAAAGACGTCATCATGTTTATGTGAGATTGAGCGCTTCATTAAAGTCAGCCAAATCGGTAGATGATAAAATTGGTAAAAGTGTGACAACTGCAGCAGTATTAAGGAAAACCTAAAATGTTGAGATAAGCGAAAAGGAAAACATGACGCCTGTTTAATAATAGAGTGAATAAGGAGCAAAATACGTTGTCTATTCAATAGATCATACGTATAAAATTCCACAGCTTACAGCAATCTCATTGAAACTTACATTAGACGATTTATACCAGTCCAGAAAAGTTTTTCAGATAATTGGAACAACTTCATTCAAATTCCTTAGCTCCGGTTTACTTTGGCAAATTCATGCCTATTCAGTGTTCTCTTTTCTGCTTATACTTTCTGAACTATGGTTCGAGTAATTGAACTTTCGTGTGACTATAAGCTTCTTCAGAAGGAACGAGAACTGTGGCTTGGTACACCGATACATGGAGGAGGTAGAAGCATTTCAGAATGTTGAAACGCATAGAATTAAACGGAAAATGACTGAAATACGAGTAGATGAAGTATTGACAGAAGAAGAGAAGGTTAATAAATGTTGAAAATTTCTAACTTTACAAAGAAGGCAGAAACTTTGGTGACGAAGTGGTTATAGGCAGCTTGTAATACTTACGTACGTGGTCGCTGGTTCAATCCCAGGATCCATAATAATGAAGCCGTTCTTCACTGCTGGTCAGCATATTTCCAAAATAGTTGTCCGGGACGGTAAAGATACTGATCTGACACATCCTAGGCCCATAACTAACTAATTGATAAGCTGAATTTATATTTCATCCTCTGCGATGCAATCTATGAATAGAGTCGAATGCATAGCACATCCCTCAGGGATTTATCAAAGCCGAGCATTTTAAGATCCACGTGTTTTTAATGCAAAATAATTATGGGCATATGATGTCTTATAACTCTGTATAAATCGATCACGAACACAGTTTGCTTGCTTTGAGAATTGCTAGAAACTTGCTGTACAGCTCAGTCAGAGTATGTCGTTATTGTCATAACTATGACGGAATGACGTGAGACCGAACAAACATGGAAAAGAATCAACTGAATCGGAAATACAAAAGTAACTGCGATTAAAATGAGCTCTACCTATACTTAATATAGTTTGACTCTTCACATATTAAGCAGATTACTCGGATCATTATCAGATCACTATCGTATGGAAATGTTCATGGTCTTCCGATTACCAGGTACACATTGCTCAGTTGAATAAAAGATCAGTTAAGATAAAACAAACGAAAAGGAAAGAAATGAAAATGAGAAAAGTCTTAAAATCTCGTAAAACTTACATGAGCTTCGAATTCAATAATTCTCGCGCGTAGCGTATCAAGTTCTTCTCGTACGGCAATCATTAGGTGCGTTTTGACAAGATCCTAAATTAGAATAGTAATAAAGAGACGTTTTTATTTTTTTTCTGATGGAAACAAATATGATTAGACGAAGAATTTCAGACAAATCTCATAAAAAATCTAGCCACCCTATATTTAGACCAAATGCATCTAAGAAGATAGGACTTGTAAGTATTAGAGAAGTCGGGTTTTATATTAACCTATCCGATTAAGAAAAGAATAAAAAGTTATATTCTCTAGAACTCATGCAATTAAAAATATCCGAAAAGAAAACGGGTAATGTGGAAATGGTGCAGAAAATTGTTTGTGGTATATTTGCAGAGGATAACACAGAATTCCCATGTTTCCGATTTTGGATGACATCGTCATAAATGGGCGCGTGTAGTGCAGTGGTTAGAGGAGCCCTGCATTACACATGGAATAGATCAGGCACCACAGATTCACCTAGATATTCATCCCTCCCGGTGTGGCAAACTGGTATCAGATTTGTCTGCGAGGATAGTAGCACTGCATGGGTACATCGGTAGACCACTGCGAGTTATTGTAAGGTCAGAAATGCATTCATTCACATCTAGTCGTCAGTCATTCTAAGCGGTATTGCAAAATTATAACAAAGAATAGAGCCAACACCCATTCTGGTCGTGCAAAAATTGTAATGCAAGAGGTCCATATCATTCAATCAGGGTTACTAGCGCTGTAAAGTAGTTCATTCTTTCATCCAGGGAGCCGGCTAAGAAGTAAACAAATGGCCGTAATCACTGTTACCTTTAAAGAAACATTATTTCACAGTGGTTAAGCTAAGCCGATGAATTTTTACGATGAAGACCTGTTAACGAAATGAAAGGACTGTCTCGTATCCCAGATGGAAGAATTTCATTTAATCGGAAAATCACTGGTCAATTCGAAGAATTAGTACAACCAATTATACTATTAGCAGTGGGATTATTAGACTATTAGTACTGTATACTATTTATGAGGATATAGAACTACCTAACTCTTATTGAGTTGATTCAGTATCAACAAAAAATGTGCGTAACGAAGGCCAGGAGAACGAAAAATCCAGGTCGAACAGTGACATAACCAAAAAGAATTAACAGAGAGGAAGTGGAAAAAGACGAAGAAATGCGAGAACGTTTAGGTTAAGAAATGAAAAGGCAAAAAAAAGACCCTTAAATTAAAAATATATGACTGAACTTAAATCGTTGGCCTTTAATATAAATCCTAGGCGTGATTATGTTGATTTGAATACACAAACTTAAATATCATCTACAATAAAGAACCGCAAGTCCAAATATTTAATGATTTACTGATAAAGATTAAAGTATAATGAGTTGTAAGGAATTCTGGAGCGAAATTAAGGCACTGAAGTGTAGAACCAGATGAAATGTAAAGAAAAAAAAAATTGTCCCAGGCACACATCATCAATGACACTTTTTACCTCTTTCTTTAAGAACGCTGGAAAAATCAATAGTCATGGAGTGAATTGTCTGGAGCTTACCATGGCTTGTTCGATCTTCGAATCTATTGGTAACGTTGTCGTTTGACCAGTCCCATTAGCGCCAGAAACAACACTATAATTGGTTACGCTATCGACAAGAATGACAACGGTTGTAAACAAGATGCAGGTGTCAAAGAAGTGAGATTACATTTACTAGTAGAAAATATGGTAACAACTTCATCTGAGAACGTAGTAGAGTTTAAAATCGAGTTTTTCTTGCAGAACATTCACCCAGTCTCAATATCAATAGTAATCTATTGTAACCCATCTACAATAAAAATCTGGTTTTGTTATCATGGAATTCTGAATTCTTCCACTTTTAAGTTTCTCTCGAACTGGTGTTTCTTCAGTTCTCGAAACACTTGAAATGTTTAAAAATCAAAGGAGGAAGAATCTCCTCAAATGTTCCTCAGCTTTCACCAATATTAGAAAAACTGCCAAACAGCTATTTCACCACAGTACCTTAAAAATATCCTTTAAAATATAAGTGTTAAAATTCATTTATTCTTCTTTTAAACTAATTAATTAACAATGAAGGTCAGATCTCAGTAAGCAAGTTGGGAGCAGTTACAACAGCAAATAAATGTAAACTCAAGCCCCATTGAACGATTTAAAATCACTTCTTTAATATGCTCTTCCTTAGTACTTAAACACATAAATACTAGTAATAGTAAATAAAGGCGTATAGAATTGCTGACGTCATTAAAAATTGCGAAGTCATTTCCTTTACTGTTTACATGACGCATTATAAATTAGTCTAAATGTTTTTTAGGTACTAATAAGATTTTCTTTGCTATTTTCCAAAAACTCCAGAACTTCTTTGTAGATATCTTAATTAGATATTATTAGTAACCCACCGTATGTTGTCGAGAAGTAAGGAGAAGATAAGTAATGTAAAATGAGTGAAAATAAGCATAAAAATTAAAAACATACTGAACTATATAAAAACCCGTTGGATTTTTTAAAAATTTCAAACAATTTTACCTAATGGAACGAAAAATCTGGCAAAATGTGTTTGATTAAATGTGGGAAACAACATGTCTCGTTATCATTTTGTTTTCCCTTGTAAAAATAAAAACAAAGAAGTATTTCATGGTTTTAACCTTTATTCACTACGTTCTTTAACATGATCCGTTTGCCTTATGTTCTATTTGTTAAATCCATTCATGAAAAGTTGTTTCGTTTTTTTTTCTCCTAGCGGTTTAGCGTCTCATCGTAGCTAGGAGGTGTTCCTGGGCGTCGGACCATAATGGCTAACTCAGGAAAACTTCAAAAAAATGGAAATTATGCTGGGCTCCGCACAACCGGTGGAGAAGGGCCATCCAAGTATCCAAGTAAATAAGTTTCATTTATTGACGAAACTGTCAAAAATACGGATACTTTTTTTCGGTAAAAATAAATCCATGTAGAGAGCAATAAAAGAAAACTTTTAGATGCTTCACCTATGAACGTTTTGCTTCAAAACCATAGTTGTCACTTAAAACAGAGAAGGAAAAATTTGTTGATCTGCCAATGACTCACATGAGTCAGATGAGCTAGACACGAGACATGTGTCTTGTGTGCTCATCAGCTGATCTGATTTATATCATCGTCTGTCAACTCGAAAAACTAATCCGAACACATAGTACGTAAATGATTTCATTTATCAGAAACATATAGATTTAAAGAAAAAACAATGGAAGAAATGCAGTTACTACAAGATAAATAGCAAACCATTAGTTAGTGTTATAAGGAAATTAAGAAAGAATCTAAAGCATAATTGGCTGGTAAAGTTGTTAAATATGTGTGACGTCGAACTATAATTGACTTACCTGACGTTATTCAGTAAATCAGTACGTTTTGTATTAGTAAGATTTGGTATATTAGTTGGAGTCAATGAACTTTCGAGTCCTTTTTGTAGTTTCTCACTTGGTGGTTTTCGTGTAGGTCGACTTAGTTCTGGAAATCAGTCAAGACTTTGTAGGAAGAATAAACATTTAATAAGCGTTTTTTTTCATGGTACATATTATAATATGGGGTTCTCAGTGAGACGGATATCTCAGATCAGTACAATTCATGTTCTATTTTATTTCAATATCCTTGACCTTTTCTATTGTTCAAGGTAGAAGTGGCATCGGTTGGACAAACGTTGTTTGCACGTGGCTGTATTGTGATTGTTCTCGAGAACGTTGGCGTTGACTGAAACAGCTTTTTTCTTTTGAAGGTGCAACGGTTTCTTTTTAATAACTGAAACAGATTAGAAAAGATAAATTTAGCGCGTATGCTGTTACAGTTTTTTTAGTTAGTACTTTAAAAATTCTAAAATATGTCGGTTCTTACGACTTTTGCGTATATGTTGGGAAGATCGGCAATGGCCGAACTCCTGTTTGATATGAGTATTTAAAATCCTACACATTTAAGTCGTATTTACGTTAATTTAACACAAATAGAAATCATAACCTTGCACTAATAATCAACCATAAGGTCAGTGCTCACGCTTCTATGCAATTTGGTACTTTTTTTCGGAGAAGGATAATAAAAGGCCAACATATCAGTTGATAAAAATATTATTTTACCTTAAGCATTGGACCCGATCAATGATGGAGACGAAACTAAACGTTCTTCACCTATCAACAGAACGGTACAAACTAGTTTGCATGTTTTCATCATCCACATCGTCACCATACTCAGCCATAACGATTCTTTTACTTCACGTAGCAATTCCCAGGACCGACTTTTTGTTAACCTTGGCCTTGATTGATAATTCGATGTTTTTCTTCAATAAGCAGACGCGAGGTTGTTATTATAGAATTTATTAGGACACAATAGCTAACGTTTCGGCAGTTTCGCCTTCTTCAGAGCCTGGAAAGCTCAAATTGAGATGCGATCCACTCAACCAAACACTTTCATAACCCTAGCAGGTAAAAATTGACAAATAAGTTTGTATTCGCATAAGAAACAGCTTATGAAAGTGTTTGGCTGGGTAAATCGCATCTCAATTTGAGCTTTCCAGGCTCTGAAGAAGGCGAAACTGCCGAAACGTCAGCTATTGTGTCCTAATAAATTCTATAATAACAACCTCGTGTCTGCTTATTGAAGAAAAACATCAGATTCTTTTACTGTTTTTTTCTCTTCAGCCTAACTCAACAAAACGACTTTTCCTCATTTTTGTTCATGTCGGCTACGATTTCTTGTCAGTATGCTCATTTCGTCCTCACCAACGGTCGAGATACCCATAAAGTGGTGATATTTCTTTTTTCGCACACTCACAGTAACTGTAACAAATATGTTACTGTATTACCCGTGCAAAGACGTCGTTATTTTCTCGATCACTTTCACTTGAACCGTCATATAGGATCGGTGCTCGAACCGATAACGTTGCTTGCTGCAATGTCTCAGAAGTCAGCGAGCGAACGGACCGATCTAAATTGTTAATAAATCCAATAAAGTTAACAAAACCTGATAATTATAACATATAATACTATAACATATAACTAATGAAAACAACATTTAAAGACAGTATCCAGCTTGGGTACTGCTGTCAAACATTCGGAGATACGTGCGTTTGTGAGTCGTCTGCTGGTGCCGTTCATTGATGTGTAGACATCGTCCAACATTTTCACCCAGAGTACATTAATATCGTTCACTGGAGCACGGTGAGCTAATCGTGACTACTCAGATGGGCGTAAACAGTAGAAAAAAAGTGGTATGGCAGCAGAAGCGAAATATGAGATTAAATTATTCTGCCCACACTTCCAGTTTTTTGGCAAATTAAATGAACATTACATATGCAAAGTAAAAAAGCATAAAGTGTTAAAAGGGGTTAGCATTTGGCATTGATCAATGCCTTAGAGATACGCCATGCATTCAAGTTCATCAAGCGCTTAGAGGTTGTTGAGTACATATCTCGTCCATAAAATGACCTGCACTAGCTCAATGATGTATCAAATCAGTGTTACTACCCTTCCATACAGGTCTGATACCGATTTGACAACTGTACAAATCGAAGCTTGTTGAAGCTCAGGCACGCTGTCGAACCAAGGACCGAATTTGCGTATACGATTGCACCTCACCGCGCCGCGCTGCATACACCAAAGTGCATACTTTCTAGATTAGATAATGATACACCACTACAGAAAAACTATGAATACGTGCACGAAAATCATGTCACTTGACCTCGATTCGTGATGGCTCGTTGAAGTGCAGCAGGCTCAGTAATGCGTGGTTTGGCCGGTGTTGACGAATCTTTCTTATCGTAGTAATCAAAACATTGCCATCGACCACGTTTGTATTTGCTCTCTAGCGGGACAATCTGATAAGACAGCGAGTTTTTTTAGTTTTTCTCTCCTTTTGTACTGTTTTTTCCTGCTTTTAAACAGAAAACAAAAAAAACAAACAGCAAAAACGAAGAAAAAAACAACGAACACGAAAACGTGATACAGTGGAGGATGCCGTTGCCTTGGTCGGTAAGCAGCGCGAGTCGACGGACTGCGAGAAACGAGTATAAAGGGTTCGCTGAGTGACTGAAAGAGCAATATTCTCAAGAAATAAACTTTGTTTATAGGCCAGAAGAAAAAAGGATTTTTACGTTATGAGAACGGAAACTACAATACAAATAATGTTCTTGATATTTATCCGTTGCTTTTAATTCAATTCAGTTCGATATTCTCGTCATCTGATTGGTTTCATTACAAGAACGCAATTATTTGTGTTCATTTCCAAATTTACTAAAAATGAACTTGTACTGAAACCGGTTGGCCCAGAATTGAGGCTCGCAAACGATTTTTAATAAAAGTCTCGATTAATATTAGAAGAAATAGAGATAAATTTATAAAGAGCTGCTCTAGAGCACGAGACTTCATAGAACTAGTCAAAAGTCGATGAATTTTTCTCGCCTTCAAGATCGACTTGTAAAGTTTGAAGAAATATAACAACGGCAAATAAAGTGATTGTTAAATATTTTAATATTCCAAAAATAAGGAAAAAAAGACCTGGGTCTTTAAAATTGGTTAGGTTAAGAGAGAAATTTTTTAAAAGTGAAGTATTTTGCAAAAATGACAAATTATGACATGTATTCTGAAAAAAGAAGGCGATCAGTATAAGTTTCCATAACAACACTCGCTTAGGGAAACTTATGAGGGAGCATAAGAAAGAAAAATGGAACGAACAACAGAAAAGTGCAGAAACAAAGAATATTTTATCCTCTACAGTCTCGATTCTTGCGAAATACAGAAGCATAAAAAAAACATAAACGAAGCGGAGTTCCAGAAATGCGTTCAAAAACCATTTCACTTTAGTCATTATGATAAGAAATACACTGCCTTGTGTTAAAAAATGTCCGAGTCAGAAATATACATAACACGTAAAATATACGTATTGACAATAACCGCAAACAAATCAATACAGGGAAAATAGATATCGTCTAAAAATGTAGTCCCATGCTTTGTTCTACTTAAGGAAAAACTTAATTAAAAAAACCCTTATGTAAAAATGAAAAAACAAATTGCGAATCAAAATTATTAAAGTGTAAATACGAAAACTAGAATGCAAGATTATTAAAATTCTAAACGACTAAACTATTAAATTATTCTACCATGTCATCAAATCCAATTAAATTTAAATGACAATTAAAGTAAGTAAAATGAAACTTAATTATTCGTAATTGATTATGAATAGGTAATTATTAATTATAAGTAATTTGTCATAATAAAATAAATGGTTAAAAATTACAAATAAAATTAATTCAAATAACTGTAGCAACATCGTAGCAATAATTGCATTAGTAAACATGTTATCTACTGTTTACTGCAATTCTTCAAAGCAGGTATCATGTGAAATGCAACCGCAACGATACGCGTTGGCCCCGGAAGGGTACTACCGAGTTCGATCCCCACCGCAGACTCCTGCGGCCCGGAGTTTTGAAAATATCTCAGCATGGTTGTAATTACATTAGTATTATGGATTATTGTATTAGGGTGCACAGATAGAACAGTGGTAGTGATGTCGATCATCACGAGAACGGTGCTGGTTCGACACCGCCCTGGGCTCACAAACTCTCTCATCTCTCCGCGGTTGAGAAATTAGTGCCAGACTTGTCCGGAAAACATTCACTCTCTGCAGTCCAAATGAGGACGCTCCAGCTCAGCTCGGCGATTCTCAGGACTCTAGCGAGAATCGACTCGACCAGCACTTCACAACATTCAGGATGAAGTGAAAATCCTCAAGCAGCAGCCGAAACCACACGTAGAAGTTGGAAGACCTTCGTGGATGATGGGTACGAGGAAACGAATCGAATGTGAGACGTGCTTGGATCTGCACAGTAGACGTGAAGACGGGTGGTATAAAAAACAAAAAAGGAGAATATGTTATTTCTATTTTATTATTATTATATTATATTTCCATTATTATATGATTCTATTCTGTTATGTCATTTTTATATTACCGTTTTACTTTGAATTAAATGTTACATTTCTTTATATTGTCTTATTATTCGTAATAATCAATAATAATTTGCAACATTTAATTAATGATTAAAATATTAATGATAATTAACCGTAAATGGTCGTCTATTGCAAATAATTAATTTGCATTTAAAATAACAAGTAATAATATTAATAATATTAATAATAATCCCAAGTAATAATAAATTGTAATAATAAATGTAGCAAAAATAATGTTTGTAATAAATAATTTTAAATTAATTTGAATTCATGAGTTTACTAAATGATTCCCTGGATTTGAAAAACAGTGAGTGAATGACGTTAAGCTCAGCACCAGCTATCCTTCCAGTCAACGTCAGTCACCAAATTCCTCAACAAACTTTTTCGTTGAACATTTCACTAGTCCGCTCTACTTACCAAAGAATACTGTAGAAAAAATGTCTGACAAAAAAGGGTGACAAAGAGCAGAAGTTTTCTCAGTGTTAAGAATAAGGACAAAAAGCACCTGGCGATCTGCGACACTACAGGAATAGAAAAATTCGCCAGTCACTTTAGTCAAAAATTACCCTTATTAACATATAATGTTCAACCACTTCGATTAAAATAAGCTCCCTGTAAACAATAATCGAAATCCCGATAAATAGCCCGAAAATCGTTGCTGAAATGATGAAGAGAAGAAGATGCAGAGCATTTTGGAGGAAATCACAAGCTTCAACTTTTTACTGACTGCCTATTATTTTTCATAGTAGGATATTGTGTGAAATGCAACCACAAGGATGCTGAGAATTGTGCCAAACTCGGACTCTCAGATGGGCTTTGAACCAGCGAGTTCCCTTTCCGCTGAATTCTTGGAAACAGTAATCGCGGGTTCCGAGCCCACCTGAGGTTCCAAGAATTGCACATGCCGCAGCACCCTCGTAATTTTAGATGATTTAATGATGAAATTTCGTACGGTGTAATATCAGGAGTTCAAAGCTCAGCATTTTCAAGTCATATCTGAGAAAAGTCAAGAAAGGAAAATCCTCACAGTAATTAACATTGCTAATTCAAAAAGAAATGAGTAGTGTATCCGAAAACGATACAAAGTAGTTGTCAATACCAGATATGATCTTAGCGAATGTAGCCGTTGAAATTGCTAACATTACCAGGGAAACTGATAGCAAGCGAATTTTCTAATGGAATTATTGAAAGCTGTATTAATATTGATATTATCTTTGCGTTTCATTCTTATTATTGTAGTCAAAACGATATCTCACATGATTATTTTCAGAGATGTTAAAGCGATTCGTGTACACGTAAGGCCTGACAAAGTATAACGTAGGTAGAATGAGTACTGAAAGCATGCACTTTGTCGTATGTGACGTGTGACGATGTTTTTAAGTGCTGCGATACATAACAGTGAAACACGCCGAGCTAAATGCACATGCTCATTTGCCGCACGCGGCGCGGCTATGGCGGCCGCGGCTCCCGCGGAGGCGACAGCGGACACATCGAAACGTCGAACGATCGGCCGAATAACAAACAGATGTACCGACTGCGATTATTCGCTTGAGTTCACATTTATGTATATATATATATATATATATATATATATGCATATATATGCCATATATATATGTATATATGTATATATATATGTATATGAACATAAACAAGCAGACACACTCACGCACCCACACAAAATACACAAACGGAAGCACCCATGAGCATATATGTATATGCGAAATGCAAACACACTTATTCATCATGCATAATATCCATTTTTGACTTAGCGGGGTTCGGGACAATGCCGACAACGAGAAGCGAAGTGATAGTGACAACGATAATGATATCGAAAGTGGGTAGAATGACAACGAAAATGAATTAGCAACAACAACGACAAGAGTTGCACAGTAAAGATTGAACGGATTAGTAAATGGTAATCTGTTTTGCCCAGATCATACACGATTATATTAAAGCGATGTGCTGGTGAATTGATTGTGTTCTAGAGGGAAAAACGATATGTATCTCTATTCATAGAACAACGAATACGAATTTTTTATGTATCTCTATTCATAGAACAACGAATACGAATTTTTGTGTAAATGATGATGAAATTCACAATAAAGGACTGTACTTGTTTCTGGAACAGAGGAGACACACTACAGATTATATCTTTCCTATTAGAAGGGATCTTTGTTACAGCTTTGTTCTACAAAGGATTTGATTTCTACGATAGAAATATTCGGAAAAGACGAACAACTTAAGGATTTGTAAGGAAAGTTGGTTTCTTTTTTTGCATTGATTCGATAGAACAAAGTTGACAGCGTTCACTACGTAGCTGGTAATCAAATGGCATGTACATTCGGAACACAATGTTCTATTCAGAAAGCAAAAGGTTTTCCCACTACAATTTTGTTTTATTCGAATTGACTTGGAGAATAAATTTTCTTAGAATGTTTACAGGTACTAGGTCAGTGGCTATGAGAACAGGTAAAGAACTCAACAATTACTTCTACTACATTGGACCTCCTTTACAATTTAGAGCCGCGTCGTAGCTAAAGGACCACGGGTAGTGCTACTGAGAGTCAAACTTCAGCAAGAACTTTATCTCTCGGCCAGCGGAGACACCAAGGATGCAACCCATCATTTCGTTTTCATATGGAAGGTTAAGTACGAGTAAACCAGTTCCATGTATCAACTGTACCGGATAAAGGTCGGATATGGTCAACCATCTTTCGATTTAGAATCAAGCAGGAGTGTGGAACACGACCGACTCTTCTGAATTCGTCAATACTATAAAGTCAGCATAAGCGCGAAATTTTGATATGAGCTTTAACAAAACGAATCCACAATGCACTTTTGAGGCGAAAAATATAGACCAAGCAGTTCATCTGTTCCTAATCACATTTTTGGCTGCTATTTTAGAAAAATTCGAAATTGATAAGCAGATGGATAACGTAAATAAACAAACAAATATGTTGGAATGTAAACAACTAAATATCGTGTAGTAAGGATACTGCGAAAATTTGCTACCAGTAGAAGCTTTAGAAAATGCCCACTTTTCTTACCACGATTTACAACTATTAGTCAAAAAAGAAGCCAATGAAGTACATAAGATTACCAAAAAAAAATAGTTGCTTTAATATTACTTTGAGCTGCTGCTAATGGTTCGCACAAATCCGAAGTTGGACGATGGGCGTTTGATTGATGAACTTCTAAACACCATGGCCAACGCTGATTTCGGACATTTCGTAATGGGGATGACAGTATTGAGGTTGGATAGAATGGTAGTTAAGAGTCGTTATCACCGACAGCAACAGTATGAAGACGTTAACTGAGACATATCTC